GAGCGCCAGTTCCATGCTATAAATCTTGTGCCAAATTTCAATGAGCATTATTTTCTACATGAGGAAATGAGATGATGCAGTGTTTAAAATCTAGAACAATACTGGGGAGATGACATTTTTTTTTTCTCCTGTGTGTTCTGATGTGAAATCTTGGGTCGTTTCTACTGCAAGGTGAATCGGAAAGTCTTCGTAGGAATGTGGCTTCCCCCGCCGCTTGGAGGGGAGTGTGTGATTTGTTTGCCAAAGGCCCTGGTAGCCTTCAATCTGTCAAAACGTTGCAAGCTGGGAACAGTTTGCCAAAGTAAACTATCAAAGTGAAATAACACACGAGTTGCACACACACAGACACACACACGCACACACAGACACACACACGCTCTCCCATTGCCCCAACATTAATTTTGAATCGGGTCAGGAGGAACAAGGGTTTGGGATAGATTGTTGGTGTTTTGAAGCAGTTGTGGGCACAGCTATGGAGGACCAATTACATAGGTATGTGTGAGCAGGGTGGGGTATCCTAAAACAGACTCTACTGAGCAGGGGTGGGAAACTTCCAGCCCTTGGCAGAGGTTCATCTGGCCCTTGGGGTTATATATTGCTCTGGCTGCTGTTATTGCAGCCCAAAGAATAATTTCCCCTCTGGGGGAATTTATTCTATTCCATTCAGAGCAGAGCCCATTTAATAACTAAGAGTTTATTCCAGAATGAATTTTATCGGTTACCCCTATGCATTTAGGTCCACTAGGACCCAGCTCAGTGAAGAAAAGAAGCATTTGAACACTAAATATAATTTGTGTTGCATTTTTGCAACAAGAGGCACCAACAAACATTTTGTTGTCATAGCTCATGTCAATCTGATGAGAATAAATTTTGGGGGCATCACCCAGAAATTGAAAAGCACAACTGATCTTAATAAGTCCCTCATGAGATAGTTTTCAAAAGCCCCCAAAGTGACTTGGGGCATTTTTGAATCTGTTAATTCATACTATTTCCATTTGTCTTAAAATTTCATAAGTTGTCAGGAGGATGTGGCATCATTCTTTAATTCAGTAAATGAAGCTTTTACTATATAGCAGATACTCACTGAATGCTGGGGAATAAAGTAGGGATAAAACCAGCTCCTTGATCTCATGGAGCTTGTAGTCTAGTGGGTGGAGGGAGAAGTTTAATTGAATAAAGACTCAACCTGTGAGATAGTAAGAAAGAAGCTCTTTTGTGCAGACTGGGGAAGGCTTTATGGAGAAAAGACAGCTTTGGGCAGACACCCAAAATAGGGGAGGGGAGGAGCTGTAGAAGTATCTGACCAGGCAATATAGTTGACCAGGCAACTTGGAATGCCCTTCCTCTGAGACAGAAAACACCCAGAATCTTCCCTCCTCTCATCTTCTACTCTCTGTCCTGCCCCATGTCCCCTGGAAAGGTATGGAAACAGCCCGGGATGAGTGGTTATGAGAAAGTGCTTCTGATTGCATTACAGATATGTGGCTTAGGTGTCTGCCAAGAACTTGGAGGGACTGAGGTGTGTAACACATTTATGGAGCTGCTGTTTGTTTTTTTAACAAAACCACACCAATCTGGTTTTTCTTTCTTTTTTTTTTTTTTTTAATGTGAATAAACAGTGCCAGAATGTTACCATGGTTCAGAGTTGTAGGCACAGGTTCATGAGAAGGCTGTCTTTCACCTTGACTCATTTGAGGGAGGCAGGGCAGGTCATATTATTCCCATTTTACAGATGGGGAAACTGAGGTCCAGAGAGGAGTTAGTTGTGCCAGCTCATGTAACTAAGGAGCATAGACTCCCTAGTTGTGATGCACATGCACCTGGATTTGGAGGTCAAACTGGATCCAGCAAGGATTCAGCTAGAACATACCTGTTCTCTTCCCACCAGCATGTTCACACCCACTCCTTTAGATGCCCCTGCCTGGTGGTGGGAGGACATCTTGGGCAGTTTTCTGGTTTGTTACAGGTTAATGGGCAGTCTTGTTTTCAAGTATCAAAAAGTCCTGGGTGGCTCAGTCCGACTCTTAAGCATCTGACTCGAATTTGGCTCTGATCTTGATCTCGGCTCAGGTCATGATCTCAGGCTCTTGAGATCGGCCCCACATCCGGCTCTGAACACAGTGGGGAGTCTGCTTGAGATTCTCTTTCACCCTCTCCCTTTTCCCCTCCCTCTGCTCTCTCTCTCCTAAAATAAGTCAACAAATCTTTAAAAAGAAAAGTCCAAAAAAGCTGTACTTGTAGGAAGGGAGAGCTTTATTGGTGGAATGCCTGTCCTTTTAGAAGCTTTAGTTTTCGTTTTCCTTCAGTAGTTTTTGGTATTCATCTAAAATGTGAGTCACTTCACCCTGTGATCCATGTACCTGTGCACCGGATAGTGCAGAAATAGAACGTTTCCATCGTCACAGAAAAGTCTACTGGACAGCACTGACCTAGATCCTTGGCAAGTTATAAACCAGCTCTTTGATTCTCTTCATGACTAATTTCATATTCTATTTTTCTGGACAGATCCCCTGCTTGGAAGGATTTTGCATATAGATATTCAACATTAAAAAGAAAGTCTGGGGGGCCCCTGGGTGGCTCAGTGGGTTGGGCCTCTGCCTTCAGCTCCGGTGGTGATCTGGGGTTCCTGGGATCGAGCCCTGCATCGGGCTCTCTGCTTGGCGGAGAGACTGCTCTCCGCACCTCCCTACCCTGCCCCGCCTGCCTCTCTGCCTACTTGTGATCTCTGTCAAAAAAAAAAAAAAAAAAAAAAAAAAAAGTCTGGTTAGGAAAAAAAAGTCTCATCAGATATAAAAACTTTTATGGGCCCAGCATGCTAGATATAAAAAATTTTCGTCTCTCATTCAATTGAAAGTGTCTCTCTGCCCCCAGACTGGGAGGGTGGGGCTTCAGGCCCCCTTAGCTAGGAGAAGGGGGCGGGGCTGTTTTCTTCCCACGCCCAGTTCTTCACCTGGCCCCTCCCTCTGCCGCAGGGGAGAGGGGAGGTAACCGGGCAGAGGGTTTCCATTGGCTGGATGCAGCTGGAGATCTGGTGTTGCTGATCTCAGGTTGGCAGAAGTCTAAGTTCTGTATTCTCCTCTCCTGGGGCACTTAGGGTGCCTTTTGGAGAACCTCCCCCTCACTTGGGGTGTCCTGCTGCACATCTCTTTATGACCCTCCCCCAAGACCCGTACTCCATGGGTACCCACCACTGATCCCCTAACCCTGGCGGGCAGCCTTTGGTGAGGTCCTTTCTAGACAACCTAAACCCAGCGATCCATGGTGCCTGCCTTCAGTTGAGAGGGAAAGGTCAGCATATTCTGTTCCTGCAAGTTCCAGAAATGTTCCCCTCCAGCCCTCTCTCTCCACTCTGCCCTCCCAGGCACTTCAGCGGAGTTTTGTCCTTGAGATACTTTTCAGGGGTAGACTCTGGCACTGGTCCTTCATATCCTTAACATGGGGGCTCAGATAAAGTTTTCTACATGGCAGCCCTCCTGGCTTGTCCTGGGTGGGAACTCTGACTTCTCCTACAAGAGACGAAGGGGCTGTGCTCAGCGCTCCTGCATTTCTCTTCAAAGAAATCTGCACGGGGTGAACTTCTCTCACCCTCTGGCCCGCTTCTTGCACAGCTGGTGGTGGTGAGGGGCGACAACATGGGTTAGGGTGGGGCAGTGGGGGCGCCTCCTTTTCTGGTTCTTAGCAGATGGTGCAGCCCTTCCTGTTTGAAATGGGGTCTATGTACTACCTTTGGGCCTCTGCTTTGGGGATGCATCTGTCCCCTCGTTCCATGGCCCCCTCACCCCGCTTCCCGCCCCGTTGCTGTCTCTGACCCGTCTGTTCACATCCATTCTGGGTGGTCTGCCAGGGCCTGGCTAATTTTCTTACAACGAGGGCCTTAGGGCGGCATTTAGGATACTTGGAGATGGTGGGAGCCTTTTCTAACCCCACACGCCCTAACTCCCATGTTCAGACAGGCTTCCTCACGTCCACCTCCGCACAGTGAGTTCTGCTGGGACTGGAGTAGTGTTTTCCATCTCACAGTTGTGTTGGAAGCCTCTGAAAAGGGTGAGAACCACCCAGGTCACTTCGCTGTCCTCAGGATTAAACCCTAAAAAAAGGGTCCAAAAGACAACTAAGTAGGACAAGTGGCCTCTTTTCAGGGATGCTTCAAACCATGGTGTTGATGATTTTGAGTCAAGGGACTTTGGGCATTTTAGTTAATTGACAATGTTTATCCTCTGACTAACTAGGTGGGTGTTTTCACCTCCATCATCCCCAGCGACCCTTACAGAAGGTGAGGACCTTGAGGGTCAGAGACATCAGTTTGCCCAGGGTCACCCAGATGGGAACGGTGGAGCTGGGATTCCATCCTCAATGTGTTTGAATCCAAAGCCACATCCCTCCCAGCACACCCTGCTGTTTCAGGGCCAGCTGGCTCCTATTCCACACCTTCCCTTTATTTGATGACAAGTCCTAATCAGGGCTGGTGACAGTAGGGCTTAACACGGCTAATCCTGCCCATGGAGAACATCTGTGACACTCAAGGGCCAAGAACGGGCAGAGGGAAGGCTCCAGGGGAAGCCTGGGGTGTAGGAGAGAAGCTTCCCCGGCCAGGCTCAGAGCCTCACTTTTAGCATGACCTGACCAGCTCCACTAGGACCAAGCACGCACTCCAGCCATTTCTCTGTGTCCGGCCTCCCCAAACCTCCCGGCCAGCTTCTGTTGTTGGCCCCCTCTTACCCAGGAGGAGACTGAGGCTCCCGAAGTTGCACATCCTGACTTAGAAACCCCGCTGGTGCTGGGAAAGGGTTTGAGCCCAGATGTACCTTGCTTTAGCCAAGCCCAAGCGCTGCGCTGCCTCCCCTCCCTCGAGACTGGCCCTTGGCACCTTGGCTGGGTCCCATCCCAGGGCAGGGGTTGGTCTGATCTCTCCCTTCCGGTGATGAGGGGGAGCCGGTGCCTTCCCCTGGGGGCTGCTGCAGCAGGGGACATACTCACGGTTGCTCTTTTTCCCTTCTCAGTGTCCTGGGTTCCCTCCTGCTGCTTGGACTCCAGCTCGTCTGCCCACAGCCCTCCACTGAACACAGAAAGGTAAACCATGGCCGTTCAGAGGCTTTGCTTCTCTGCACCAAGGGGCTGGGGTCCCTCCAGGCATCACCCTGAGTTTGGTTCTCTTTGGAGGGGAGTCACCACTAATCTTGGGAGGAAGCACTGTTTATAAGATGTTCCCCAGTCCTGTCCCTCTGAAGCCCTTGGAGCTTAAGAATGAAGCTGGCGCCCAGAGTCTGTGTCTGACCTGAGAGCATCGCTGGTGTTGCTAGCTGTGTCCTTGCTGGTAGGACCACGAGGGCGAGCTCGGTGAGAAGACCACCCACCTGGGAGTGGTAGAGCACCAGCATGGGGCTTTGACCCCCTCTAGGGGCCGCAGGTCTTGATGGTTAAAGAAAGGCTCTACCTAAAGCTGGGGATGGGGCTGTACCTATAGGCAAGACGAGCCCCGATGGGGAGCTCCGACCTTTGGCAGGAGGGCATAGCAGCCCCTGGCAGCCAGCAGCCAGGCAGGGAGTGAGCAGAGAAATAAAGACCTGGCCCTCTCTTTGTTCCCCTCCTGCGTTTCCAGCTGGGGACTCCCCTGAGCTGGGCCCACCCAAAAGAAGACAGAAATCCCTTGATGCAGTCCTCAGAGGCCAGCCTCTGAGGCAACAGGGCTGGATGGAGAAGTGGAGGGCAGAACTTCTGGGGGAGAGGCTTGCAGATGGTATCAAGCATGCCTCCCTTCAGGCTCTGTGTGTTTTGTAGCAGGTGTGCTATTGGCGGCTGCTGAAACAAGCCGAACCAGGACAGGGGCATGACGAAGGCTCCCTTAGGAGCAGATGCATGAGATGACTCTGAGAAGGTCCCTAAAACCCCTTCCTACTACCTAGAATCTCCTCCTCCCTGTAAGTTAGGAAATGCAGACACTTCTCAGAGGAATGATAGGTCAGGCATTCGTATCTGAGTGTGACTAAGTTGCTTGGAAACTTTCCCCAGAGAGGGGTTTCATAGGGGAAATCCAGGAGAGAAGGGAGCGGACAAGAGCAGGCCCAAGGGTTTGGATGTGACCCTTCTTACAAGATTCTTAATACTCTTGTCTGCATTGTCTAACTTCTCTTAGGTCTGTGGCTTATGTTCTGTCTTTGGTTTTCCGGGCCAGGTACGGGCCTGTATTGTATTGTATGTCCCACGAGGATGTCAGCTCCACGAAACTGCTATCTTCCCAGCTTGTTGAATGAATAAAGAATGAATGAATGAATGAATGAATAGAAAACCTGACCAAGGTCTCAGCCTCATGTTGTTAGAGTCACTGGAAATCTATATGCCTCTCCCTTCGCTGCATTATCCCCATTCATAATTTCAAGAAGTCAGAGAGGACAACTCCTGTAGACGGAATGTTTGTGTCCCCCCCGCAGCCCCCGCAAATTCACATGTTGAAACCTAATGTCCAATATGAAGGTATCTGCCAGTGGGGCCTTTCAGGGGAGGGGAGCCCTGATGAATGGGATTAGTGCCCTTATTAGAGTCGGGAGAGAGCTTCCTGCCTGCCCCTGGAGGATAAAATGAGAAGTCTGCCACTCAGAAGAAGGCACCATGATCTTGGATTTCTAGCTTCCAGACCTGTGAGAAATCAGTTTCTGTTGTTTGTAAGCCACACAGTCTCTGGTACTTTCGTTTAGCAGCCCAAACTGACTCTGACAAAAGCAGGCACTGAGAGGTGGGGGTGCTGCTCTGACAAATGCGTCACATGATGGAGGTGGCTTTGGAACGTGGTGGCGGCGGGCAGGGACCGGAAGAGTAACGGGGGGCGTGCTAGGAGGAGCCTGCGTTGCCATGAGAGGACTTTTTAAGGTGTTCTGGTGCGAGCTCAGAAGGGGAGAACAGTGATCTCGAACAAAAAGGTGGTGGACTGCAGGCGGCGAAGGATGGCGTCTCAGACAGAAATGAGAACGTGTTATTGGAAACTGGGGGACAGGCCATGCTTGTTATAAAGTGGCCAAAAAACAAACAAACTTGGCTGAATTATGTTCCTGTTCTCGTGTTTGTGGAAGGTGGCCCTTGCAAGCGATGAAATTAGATATTTAGCTGAAGCAATTTCGAAGCAAAGTGTGGAAGGAGTGGCCTGGCTTCTCTCGCCTGCTTGTGGCAAAATGTGAGAAAAGAGAAATGACTTAAAGATGGAATTGTTAATTGGAAAGAAAGCAGAGCCCAGAACTTAAAAGACTTGAGAAATTCTCAGCTAATTCATACTGAAGAGAAGGAGAAAGTCTTTAGGGAGAACACCAAGGGTGTGGCCAAGAGACCATTTGATGATGAGACTAGTCAGCCATCTCACAGAAGCCAGGACTATTTTCCGAGACCATGGGAGAATGCAAACTAGGTGTTCCTTGTGCCTGACCCTCCACATATCTCCTCTCTGGGTGGTCTCCACGGCCAGCACTCTCTCCTCGGCTGCCCCAGGTGCTGCTCCGGCAACCTGGTGAAGTGTGGGCTGTGCCCAGCGAGCCACAGGGGCATGGCTGCTTCCATCTTGACTTCAAAGGTCAAGGCCTCCCTGCAGGTCAAGGCCTCCCTGCAGAGCCATGATCCTAGGCCCTAACCCTGGAGAGCCACAGGGGGACAGGCTTGCCCAAAGCTCTGGGGGCAGGGCACCTGGGAGCCTTGGGGCCTCAGCCTTCCCCAGCAAAGCTGCAAGCAGGAGCACTGTCCCATTGAGTCTGGAGAGCAGGAGCATCAAACCAAAGAGGATTATTCTTGAGCGTTAAAGTCTAAGGGAATTTTCCACCCTTGGATTTTGTACTTGCTTGGGACTTGTTACTCCTTTCTTCTTTCCTCTTTCTCCCATCTGGAGTGGGAATGCCTGTCCTGTGTCTGTCTCACTGCTGTATTTCAGAAGCATGTGACAGGTGTGACTAGGCATGTTCACAGTTGGAGAGCAGATTGGCTCAGGACAGGTTGTATGAATTGAGGTGATATTTAGATGGGCCTAGTCTTTAAAGTTGACGCTGGAACTGGTTAAGAACTTGGGGGCTGTTCGGATGGAATAAATATATTTTGCATATAAGAAGGACATGAATTTTGGGGGACCAGAGTGAAATGTGATAGATTGAATGTGTCCCCCCACATTTATATGTTGAAACTTAATCCCCAGTGCGATGGTATTTAGAGGTGTGGAGCATTTGGGAGGTGATTTGGTCATGAGGGGATTCTTGCCCTTATAAAAGATCCCAAAGAGACCTCTGGCCCCTTCTGCTAGATGAAAGTACAGTGAGAAGCCTGCTCTCTTTAAACAGGAAATGGGCTCTCCCAGACACCAAATCTTCCAGCCCCTTAATCTCAGACATCCCAGCCTCCAGAACTGTGAAAAAATAAATGTAAGTTGGTCATAAACCCCTCTCCCCGCATCTGTGGTATTTTTGTTTTAGCAGCTGGCATGGACCAAGACAGCTGTCTTTTCACTATTAAGTTATACTATTAATACTGTTTACAAGTGTCAAGGTTGTTAATCTTAATAGTTGAATTGTTGAATCAATTGTTGAATGAATTGTTGAATAGTTGAATCAATTTGCCAGTGTTTGATTCTTGTTGCTCAAATAGACCATCATAGCTGAAAATATTTTATAGATGATTTACTTTGCTATTTTCCAAGTTAGCCTGATGACTGATACATACATGTATACATATATTTCATATATATCACATATATACATGACATATATATCCTGAAAAAAAGGTTCACAGATAGGTATTACTTTTATGTTTCTTAAGTATTTGTTCTGAACAATGAAAGAAAAAAGTCTATGAGTTATGTTGGAATGTTAAATTTTATTTTATTTACTTATTTTTAAAGATTTCATTTATTTGAGAGAGAGAGCACAAGTGAGTGGAGGGGCAGAGAGAGGGAGAGAAGCAAACTCCCCACTAAGCAGGGAGTCCAATGCGGGGTTCCATCCCAGAGCCCCAAGATCATGATCCCAGGACCCTGAACTGAAGACAGATGCTTAACCAAGCCAGCCACCCAGGCAGCCCTGGAATGTGGAATTTTAAAATTGAGTAGAAAGTATCCCATCTTGACATATGGTACCTCCCCAAAATATTGAAAAGAACTTTGCAGTAGGAAGATTGATTAATTTTTTTCAAAATTATTTATAGATTAATTTACTTGGAGAACATACATTTTAGGAGAGCTTTCAAATATAATTATATGCATTTTGGCTGCCAGAGTCATTGTCATTCACCCTAGAGAAGAACAGATTCAGTACTTTCTTGGATGTTGAATTTCTTCTTACTGTTTCATTAGAGCTTTGTAGAGCTGTGGCTGTCATCCTGCCTGCTTATATCCTAAAAATCCTGGCAGAGGTACCAACAATGGTAGCATCCATTTATTTCTGCAACATGAGAAGTATGTCCTTAGTAAAACAGGGGTCAGAAATGTTTTTTTCCATGAAAGAGCAGTTGTGAATATTTTGGGCTTTCTGGGCTACAAAGTTTCTAACTATTCACCTATGCTTTTGGCAAAGCATAGGTAGCCATAGACAATAGGTAAATGAATGTGAGTGACTGTATTCCAGTAAAACTTTATTTACAAAAATAGGTGGTTATCTGGATTTGGCCCATGCCCACAGTTGGCAGACCACCAATCTAAAGCCTGATAGAGAGGAGTTAACTGCACATATGTGTGTTTTGGAATTTGAAGTTGGAAGTTGTCTCCTCCTGGAACTTGAAGAAACACAAAAGTTTGGAGAAGAAGTCTATTTTTTCATTAAAAAATAAGAATTATGATTGCTCTCAAATTGCTTTCATTGCTTAGATAAATCATAATTGAATTCCTGCTGACCCATTGTTTTATGACAAAATCCACTCCCAATCTGTAGCAGAGAGCGGCAGAAAGAATTAGAAAACCATTTATGGTAAATTCTTAAGGGACAGCATTACTAATTTGTGCATATTGCAGTTTCATATGTATATGAAAACTACCCACTAAAAGACATCTCTTTTTCTTTTTCATTACAATAGCATGACCAACTTTAGCATATGGAAGCATTTCTGCAGTGTAA